TCGCAAAAGATTATGTCTCTCACTCATTTTGACATAGATTGGTACAATCGGGTCTATGATGGAATAAAAATCATTGACAAATGTGGAAGTTTCCCGAATGTGCCTCTCATTAGTACCAAAGGAGGGATCAATTATAATCCAATATTAGCTCGTCGTCACCCGATGAAGAACATACCATATAACATTTATCTGGAAGGTCTTTTCTTTAAGGAAGGAGAAAATGACAGGGTACTAAAGAAAGAAATTGTACATGCCTGACAACATGTTCATAGAAAAGGAAGAAAGTCTTTGGGAAGGCCAAACTGCGTCTCTGCAGAGCCTTATCTCCGATGGGTGCAAACCAGAGCCATCAAATTAAAGATGCCTTACCCTCATCAGGAATTTTTTCCCCTGAAAGAGTCTATCCTCTACTTCATGAATGACACAGAAAAACTTCAGGTCGCTTTCAACAAGGTCCAATGCGAGAAGAACTCTTGGAAGAACAAGTACCAGGTTGTCAGCTTGGAATGTACAAAGATTTAAGAACTATTGAAAGAGAAGGATGCTCTGATTGAGATATTAGAGCCACATGCTATAGAAGTTCAAAAGGAATAGAGGAGTTTACTCTCTCCTTTCACTTGGAAAAGGATCATCGACCAGACAACGGTTGAGGGGGCACAATCAAAGAAGAGAAAAGGGAGTCAGCAACCAGCATCTAGATCTTCGTCAGGAACTCCCTAGAATTCATAGGCCTAGTTTTCCCTCTGGCACGTTGTTAAAAATAATAATGTATTTTTCCATGTAAGATATTATAATCCCTTGAATTCAATAAAAAGTTTCATTATTGTATGATATTTGTATAATAATTGTTAAAAGTTCTTTTGGAAACAAAACAAAAAGGTCATTTTCATTTCTCTGAATATCATTCATCATTTTTGCATTACACATCTTTTTCATAAAGTCTCACGCATGTGTCGCACTTTAGAGTCAAACTGTCTCATTTGTACAATACTCGGGCCAATCACCAGAAGAAAATAGACGATCTTGAGGAAGAGAACAGAGAGTTGAGAGAGGAGGTCACTATTATAAAAGAGGGTATGGAGAGACTCAAAGGCATGATTGAATCTCTGGCAGCAACTCAGGATCAACCAGCTCAAAGGACGGTAATCTCAGAAATTGTGTCTACACCAACATTTAAGATACACACCAATCTTCTTCAGTACAATATGCCTAAAGGTTTTCCCTAGGGCATGCCTTTCAATTTTATACCTGAGGGATACATACCGCTGGTCACTGAAGACCTAGAAGCCATAGCCAGAACCTCCGAACCTGAAGGTTACAAACTTCAGGTGAATGAAGACGCAAGGGTTATGACAAAGACTCCCATACGTGATGGTTATAAACTTCAGGTCATTGAAGCATCAAGAGTTATTGTAGTAATGTCTATACCACAACCTGTGATACATACTATCCCAGAGGAACAAATTCTTCAGACCACTTCTGGAAAGAATTAAGAAGTATACAAGAGAATGAGTGAACTCCAAGAACATTTCTTAGAAATTCAGAAAGAACTGCATGCCATTCGCGGGCAGGACTTGTTTGGCAAAGATGTCGCTGACCTCTGTCTGGTTCCTAATGTAAAAATACCGCACAAGTTTAAAGTACCTAACTTTGAAAAATACAAAGGTAGTTCTTGCCCTCAGAATCATCTAATAATGTTTTCCCAAAAGATGTCTACTCATACGGGAAATCAACAGCTACTAATCCACTACTTCTAAGATAGTTTAACTGGTGCCGCACTCAAATGGTACATGGGATTAAACTGTGCAAAGATCAATACTTTCAGAGATCTCAGGGCGGCTTTTGTTCAGCAGTACAAGTACGGATATGGCACCCGACAGAGACCAGCTCAGCGCAATCTCCCTGAAAGATAAGTAAACCTTCAAGGAGTACGCTCAAAGATAGCATGAAATTATTGCCCAAAATTTTCTTCCCCTTGAGAAGAAAGAAATGAAAAAAATCTTTTTGAAAACCTTGAGCTCATTTTATTATGACCGAATGGTCGCAAGTGCACCTAGTGACTTCACCGAGATGGTAAACATGCTAGGTACACCTTTAGGAAGCAGTCCGAGAAGGTCAACTGATTAAAGACACAGAGCCATCCAGCAGTGCTAAAAGATACAGGAGTGCTTTCTAAAAGAATAAATAGCAAGATATTAGCAATATCTCTCAGGGTAAACAAAGGCGAAGGTATCAACCTCAGAAGGTGGCAGCAGTATCTCCTGTCATCAACCAGCGCTGGCTCTGACCTGTCAACTACAGGCTGTTCAGAGCCAGCCAAATCAACAACCATGTCAGCAAAGGTAGGAATAGCCTCTTCAGGAGGCTCGCTCGCAATACAATAACAACAACCGTTTTCCCCGATTACCAAGGTTTGACCCCATACCAATGTTATGTGCATAACTGTTCCCAGTACTGTTGGCAAAGGAGCACATTCAACCAGGACTCCTCTTACAGTGTCGGACAATCCCACTTATTGGTTCAAAGTTGATCAATCTTGCCCTCGTCATCAAGGAGGACCGGGGCATAACATTGAGAACTGCCTCAGCTTCAAATCTAACGTACACAGGCTCGTTAAAAATGGAGTTTTCTATTTCAAAGATACGAATCCAAATGTCCAAATAAATCCGTTTACAAAACATGAAAAAGCTTCAGTGAACTTGATAGATGAAGAACCAAACAACAGTTATCAAATTCATGACTTATGCCTACTAGGAACGAATCTGATTAAGATGCATTTCAGACAAAGTGGATATGGCCATGTGTCATCTCACAACTATCACCAATGCAACATTTATTTCAAGAACAATCAAGGGTGCATCATCGTACAAGCAGCTCTTCAAGAACAGATGGATCTATGCTGGATCCAAGATCACCGGATTCGTGAAGTAAATTTTGCCTACGAACATCCAAACTTTGTTCAAAATCATGACATCCGTGCGATAAATGTCAATCTAATTGCAATGCACTCAAGACAAAGTCAGTACTATAATCTGCCGCTGCACGACTACAACGTTTGCTCGATTTTCTCAAAAGAGAATCAAGGATGTTCTTTTGTACAAGAAGCCCTCCAACGTCAAATGGATCTAGGACGGATCCAAGACTACCATGGAAGGAATGATAGTCAGGTCAATCTGGTTCAGATTTTTGATATTCGTTTAATGGATACCTACCAACTTTGTAGAATTACATGTCAAGAAAGTCATAATTGATTTTCTGTCCTCGCATAATTATCAAGATTGCAAGGTTTGCTCCGAAAAAGATCAAGGTTATGCGCTTGTACAAACAACTCTTCAACATCTGTTGGACCATTGGTGGATTCCAATCTACCAAGATGAAAACACAAATCAACTTAACATAGCCAACGAAAATCCAGACAGACACCAAAGTTATGACATCTGCTTGCTGGAAACTGATTTGGTCAAGATGCAGTGCATACTGAGCAGGTACGACCATATACCACCTCACAATTATGAATGCTGCCGAGTATGCTCAGAAAATAGCCAAGGGTGCTACCTCGTGCGAGCAGCTCTCCAGGATCAAGTGGACCAAGGGGAAACCTGTCGCACCCAATATTTTGAACCTAAGATTCCACTTTCCTTTTGTAGTATCTTCAGGACATTTGGTCTTTTTGTGAATGCCTACTATAACTAACTTGTATGCAGGAACATTGATTTCAAGTGTTGCCGATGCTTACTTTTACAATCACCCACTTCAAGATATACCCCGAAGAATTAAGGTTTTCGTCCATTCATGGTGAGCACGGTCGTTGACGAGGCCAAATTATCATGAGCAAAAGGATTAGAGTTAGAAGATCGTATGGTTAAGGGTTCATCCCAAGTTTTTCCAGAATGTGAACTAAGGTTGCATAGTTAAGAATTAAGGTTTAGTTTGAGGGCGTCGAGTTTGGTTGAAAGTTATATCTAAGTATATTTCTTAGCAAGAGTTACCAAAATTGATTTTAAGACATATTTCATGTCGTGGTCCATGATACCATTCAAGAAATGTTCAATAATCTATGCCATAAATTAAACTCAACATTATTTGACTTATGAGCCATAAGAGGCAGGTTTCCAAGCTCCATGTCGAAATTACGAATTCATGCTTCCAAGGTTCGTATTGTTTTCAAATTATTGGTTCGAGTTGTGATTACAAGTTCGAGCGATTTCCAAATTCAAAGTATGCAAGAAGTGTCGACATTATTTCTATAATTAAAAAAACTCAACTAAAGATTTGACTAGCAAAGCACAAGGATTTCATATGTCTTAAAGATTCAAAAAGTCCTCAAAGCAAAGTTAACAAAAAGAGAAATGTTATAACTTTCAAACTTATTTACAAGGCATCAAGGTGGCACAAGCCTATTACCATTTGAAAAAGAAATGACCAAATCCTTAGAGTTTGCAAGATATTGAGGCCTATTTGCATTTTCCTAAATATTACACAAAAGGAGACAGAGGAGAAAATTTTAGTTTGTGTGATCATCATCGACCAATAGCCAGGAGCCCAACACAGACCATCACAACCAATTTCAAATAAAAAGAGAATTAGCCCATGGACTCGCACAAGCTACAATTACTAGCTACCCCAAAATCTCTTCCAAGTCACTTCAACAGGTTTCCCCTACATAAAAGATACCTACACAAAGCCTTCGTGAACCAAAGCCATACAGGGGAATCATCCTAAAAGTAATAAAAGAAGCTTCTTTAGGATCCTTTCAAGGTTTCAAAATCACATAAGAGTTTTAGATACATTGTCTTTTCCGTTTAATTCCAAAGGAAAAGTTCAAAGGCCCAAATTTAATTCAAGTTCATAATAAATCAAAAGTTTAAAACTTGGAAGTAAATTCCAAAGGTTCAAGATTACAAAGGTTCCAACGTTTCTTTTGAATTACAATTTTAACTTCAACTTCAAGAAGAGTTAAATCTTATTTTCAAATAGAGCTCTCAGTACTAAGCATTGAATCAAGATGTTCCAAGTTTCATAAAGTTATGTTGCAAAAACACTTGCAAGCCTAGAATCCTACATTGCCCTTTTCTTTCTTCATGCCACGGCCAAACGATGGTTGTGTTATCATCAAGGACCGGTTCCAAGAGCGTACGTATCCAAAATGGGAATTTCTCACCACCTGTAAACATCAACAGAGAGGTGAGATAAGAATTTTAATGAGCTCATCATAGGATAGTTGCATAGGAATCTAGAGGATGGCACATACAGAAAACAACAACTTACTGCCATGTAATTTGAAACACGCTACACAATCTTCGCACACTGCAACTATCAATGACCTCCAGATATACACAGGCATACTGAGCTGAAAAAGGAAAGAATTAAGGGCACTACTAGGATTAAGGGCAATTCTTAGATATGTCGCGACCAAATCAGAATACCACGATATTCTTTCTAAGACAGTATTTGACATCTTAATTTTGTGTAATTGATTCATGACCAACGTTCAATTCTAGAGCCACGACCAACGTTCAATTCGAGAGCTCTATAAAAGTAACACAAGCACAACATACGAAGGAGGGGAATGGTTATCACAGTTTGTCAGTAGTAAAATATCACACAAAACTCAGAATTCACGGGACGCAAGCATACTACAATAATGAATCGGAAGTGGAAGCAAACAGAACATTGTGTACCGCAACATATACATTCACTTGAAGGGAGGAAGAATAAGAAGTTTGCGACAATAGATTTTGGAGGTACAATTTGCTTTACTTTCTCTCCTTCAACAACCTCCGAAACGAACCACGATCTCGTTGGCAAATCATACTTCCTTCCTCGTCAATCTTTGCTTGTTTAACTTTGATGCGGCCGTTTGTTCTTAGAATCGAATCAAACTTGTTTCCTTTCCTTTTGGTCGCCTGATCGAAGGATTATGTTTATTATGTTTTGTTTTGTTTTTTCTGTCTCGCTTTGGTTCTTTTGTTGGATTTTGGGGAAGATAGGAAAAGGGTTTATGGAGGAGGACACCATGAGGTGGGTTTCATGGTTATAGGTGGGTAAGCGATCGTCATTGCAACCTCCGACACGGCGGCGCGAGTCCCATCGAGAGCTTCTTGAAGAGTCAGGAAAGGGGATTAAGGGAATGAGTGAGTTTGTTCTTTTACTTTTCATGTTCATGCCTTGACTCGATCCTATGTGTATGTTTCTATGCCATCTTTCTGTGTACCCTCGCCCCAAACCATTGTTTTAAGTCTTCCGGTTGACCCATCCGATCGAACGAAAATGATCGGCTTTGATCAAGAGTCCACTATGAATCTCCCCCTATCTTTGCCTGCACTTCCTTTCTATTTTGTCCTCGTTTTACTCACTTAAGTTTCTCTCTTACTGAACTTTTATTATTTCAATAGGGTTAGAAAAAATTTTATTTTCATTTAAAATAAATCACCTTTATTTAATTATTTATTTACTTTGTTAAATTTAACTTCTCTAATTTTTTTATCAAAATAAAAATAAGTCCAGGTCCTCATTTGAATAATCAATTGAATCTTAAATATTAATTTTCTTTAATCACCTTATTAAAATTTTAATCTTATGCTTATTTCTTCTTATTTTAGTAATTGCACCGTTCACTTAATTAACATTTATTTTGAGATTGTTATTTCGTCTAACCTTTTCAAGTTAACTCGAAAACCCTTAGTCTCGCCATTCTCATATCTTTACGTGGTGATGCTTTCTTAGTTTTTATGCGCTTGACTTGATGTATGTGGGGTAGTATCATCTCTTCGTAGTTCGACTGTGCATTATTTGGCATATCTTATATGTTGATTATTCAAATCATGCTTTTTTACTGTAACGTTTATTGCTTTTTTCTATTTTCCTTATAAACATTTAATTTGCACATATCTATGTCCAAGGGAAGAACATGTGTATGATTATTAAAGTCATATACACTGCATTAGCATTTGCATCATTTCCCCCGCTTGATCCTTGTTTTCTCAAGTCGATCAGCGTAGGAGTTATCCTTACACCTTAAGATAGGATAGATTTCCTTGGTATCTCTTTCAACTTAGACAAAACCATAATTCAATTCAATCTTATTCTCCCTACAAGAGAATTAGATATGATTCATCTTAATAGTCGAGATATAATTCTCCTACCCCATAACGTAATTGAGAGATGTAGGATCTTTTCTGCTTGAGGGAGGTATGTGGCATACTCGTCGATAAATCCGAGTGTTGAGCCCTTCTCTCAATGTGACGCAAAGACCATCTCCTACAAGTTGTGGCGGTTAATTCGAGTATTCTCCCTTAAGATGATGACTCGTATCTTCTCCTAGAATCACTCAACATACCTTCTACCCCTAGAACCTTGGCCATAGTCAAGAAGTTCCTCAATCCCTTTTAGGGGAAATACGAATACTCTGATTCCACTCTCGTCAGGATATGTAGGCACAAGATGCAATTTCTTGGTGAGTATACTTAGAAATAAACACCCTAGGTCTCTTACCCTTAGCAAACAATAATAACACAAATAAAACAAGAGGTTCCTGTAGAGTACTACAGATGCTTAGGATGCTAGCACCTTCCCTAGGTGTAACCAACCCCCGAACTTTAGGTTCTCTAGCTTTGCATTTGCATTGCATACTTTTGGGTTATTCGATCTTTTTCCCTTCCCTTATACAAATTAAAGACCAGCGGTGAATAATGAATTAAGATTCAAGTTAATTAATAGCTTGATATCCAATTCTCGCCGCGACAGAAATGGAGACTCCATTGGGGACCACTTGAGGGTTCCCCCTAACTTGTTTTATTTGTCTGTTTATATATATATATATATATATATATATATATATATATATATATATATATATATATATATATATATATATATATATATATATATATATATATATATATATATATATATATATATATATATATATATATATATATATATATATATATATATATATATATATATATATATATATATATATATATATATATATATATATATATATATATATATATATATATATATATATATATATATATATATATATATGTTGCGGTTAGAATATGATATCAAATTATTAATTAATTTGAATCGCATCTTTAGTTCACAACCGCTCTTTGATTTATCCGAAGGAAAAGGTCAAAAGAGGAAAACCTAATTTTGCATCGTAAAGACAATGCGGGGAGAGATCTAGGTAAGGGGTTGACCCTAAACTTCTGTAGTACTCTACAGGAACCTTTTGTTTATTGTATGCTTTTTTTTATATTTTATTATCTGTTTTAATATATATTGAGGTAAGGGATAGAGTGACCTAAAGACCTAAGGGTTAGTCCTAAGTTTACTCGGCAAGACGTCGCATCTTGTGCCTACATATCCTGATGGGAATGGAATCAGAGTAATTGTAGTTCCCCTCGAAAGGGAGGTTAGAAACGTCTTGACTGTGGTCAAGGTTTCAATGGGGAATAAACGTATCTTAAGGACACGCTTATGTGGAGTCTTTGAAACTCCTATTTCTACGTTGAATTTGTTAATTAAAAATTTAGGGTTGAAATTAGGGATTCCACGGCGGGAAACCCTAAAACAAAGTACGGCGACTCTTTGACCTAAAACTAGGGTAAAGGGTATTTTTGTCCACGGCGGGACGCCTAGGTTAATTAGGGTTTGAGACGGCTAAAACTAGGGTTATTGACTCGGCGGTCAAACAACTAGACCTAATTCCTTCGGAGGGAATTCTAACGGTAAAACATGCAAACATGACAAAATATTATACGGCAAAATTAAAGTGCGGAAAGTAAAGAAAGCGTCGCGACGATCACTCGCGTAAATTACAAATCCCAAAAAAAACAAAAACAAAATAAATCGCGACCATGGCCTCGCGTAAATTACATCCATGGAACAAAATAAATTAAAATAAATATGAATCATAATCTATGTATAATCTGAGGAGAGAAACAGAGAACGTTAGTGAAAAGTTAGACGAAAATATGGCAAACATATTTTATATTAAAAGAAACACGAAAATGCAATTTGGAATTTTTATTATTGTTTTGTTAATTTTTATATTTTTTTTATTAAAATTTTAGTCTTAATTTTAAAAGGTTTTAATTTTTAAATAAACAAAACTTTAGTTTTAACTTTTTATCTTTAGAAAGTTTTAATTTTAATTTTAATTTTTAAAAGAGAAAGTCTTAAATTAAAAAAAAACTCTAATCATAAGTTTTTTTTTAAAAGAAGAAGTTTACATAAAAAAAAAGGTTCGTTAGTCTTACTTTAACAGAATGTTAGTTTTAAAATTTTAAAGAAAGTTTTAGAAAAAAGTTTTAACCCTTTCTAACATGTTTTAATTCTTAATCTTTAAAACTTAAAAAAAATGTTAATTTTAATACTTAAAAAAAAAGTTTTAATTTTAGGAGTGGGTTAATTTTAAGTTAGTAAAAATGTTTTCACTTAACTATAAAAGTGTTTTAAACACTGTTTATTTATTAAAAAAAAATTGTTAGTGGTTAGTGTTTTAATTAAGAAAAAGTTTTAAGTTTTTTACTTACTGTAATTATAATCAAAAACTGGTTTTAGTTATAATTCACAAAAAGGGTTTTTAGTTAGAAAAAAAAGAAAAGGTTTAAAAAATGAGAGTTTAATTATTTGGAAGAGGTTTTAATTGGGATAACATAAAAGCTTACATTTCAGTTGCCGGTTGGTGATGCTTTCGCTTGTTCTTCGCCGGCGGCAATGGTTCTCGACGAACTTCTTTGGATCTCTTTTCCTCTTTCTCAAATGGAGGTGATGATGATGAGCTTCGAAACTCTTCTGAACCTCCGGATCTTGACGACCGCCGTTTTTCTTTTTGCCTCCTTTTCTGATGACCTGTTCTTGATTTTCTGATGTGAATGAAGTTTCCTCCCATCACTTATGTTTATATAGGTAACAAATTAGGGTTAGCTCTAACCTAATTCCCACTTTAAAGCCCAACTTAAAGAATTAGTCAAAACTAAATTAAAACAAACTTAAAACAACTTAAAACTCTATTTATTTACTAAATATAATAAAATATTTTCTAATATTTTTAATTTTTTGATTTTTTGATGTTTTTTTATGAATAATATGGGAAAAAGTGAAAAATAATATTTTTAAAAAAATAATTTAAATAAAATACGAAAATAATAATTAAATAATTAAAAAAACTATTTTTGTTATTTTTTTTTATGAAAAATAGAAAAGTTAGAACAAAAATAAAAGAAAAACAAAAAGTGAAGAAGGTGGGATTTGAACTCTCGACCTCTCACACTCACAACTCCTTACACACGGTCTCTTGCCAATTGTGCCATTTTATTCATTCAAAATAAAGTGGCACTAGAAACTATGTAAAGGTAGGACAAATTTGGGGTGCAACAGATGCCCCTATTTAAATAGCTTCACCGGATGATTTGAGCAGCGGAGACTCGAGAAATCGCGGTG